GTATGAGTGTGAATATGCCATCGCAAATGTGCTGTGCGTGTTGCTGTCCTAGATTCTGAAGTTCTTTAGACTTGTAAGTTACTGTGAGTTACTGTTGTGCCTATAGTAAATTCTATTTGAATCTTCTGTTAAATTGCTTAACTTAAGCTATCAATTAAGTGCTGCTAAATTTTAAGTGCTGTTAAAACTTTAGGCCTAAACCGTTGGTCAAGTCTGGGACTTAGTTTTGCAAAGGGATCTGCTCTGGACCTTGCGACTCAACGGGAGAGTTTTCCTTATTTCTTTTTGTCCTTATCCTTTCCTATCTTTACCCTTTTGCTGCCCACACCCCCGCCAGCCTCCATGTAGATAATTTTTGTGTGAATTTCAGGTTTAGATTGATTAATTCTAGACTTTATTTTGCTTTTTCTCTATGGGCTTTAACCATCCAGTAAGCACTAGAGTGATCTTTGACAACGAACTTTGTCATACTTTCACTGTTATATTAAACCTGCTTTTGCTGATGCCTCTGGTGGCGGTTCTTTAAGTGACTCATTCACCTTAAAACACTCATTTGCCCCACTCTGTCTCTCAGAGGAACTGTGAGATCAGTCTACAAAGTGTTAAGAAAGGAATTAACAAATGTCATAATACACAAAACACACTCATGGCTAAAAATCCCTTTCCTCAAATCAGTTTTCTTCTCCCAGTACTCATGGGGTTTTCTCTTACAAGTGCTGTGGATATCTGGCCAGGGGACCTTTGTGTCAATGTTGTCTTCTCTTCAACAGCAGAAAGAGCGTCTCTTGTCCTAGAGCAAGGAAGGACAGCAAAGAATAATTAGATTTAATAAAAAAAATAGGTCTGGGAGCTGGACCTGTGATGATGTCTGCAAAGGAGAAAAAAGGCCAGATTTACACAGTAAAAGTGCATTTCATGTGGAATTGTACCAAGTACAAAGGTTTCTGTCTAGCCAGAAGTTTCTGCTTTGCCTAGTCATTTTCAAGCCCGGTGTTATGTAGAATACAGCTTTGCAGAGCTCTCCACACCCAAACCTCTTGGATGATGATCACTTCTCCTTGGTAGTGCACCACTGAAAAGTGTTTCTTTCATTGTTTATTGTCAGAAGAAACTACGGGAAAATAGTCCATTGCCTGGACCCATCCATTTTAAACAGGGCCCAGCTAACCCAAAGGAAGCTGTTTGAAGTTTCAGAAAGGGATGGGTGGGCTGTGCTTTGTGGGAAGGGACTCAAAAATCCCTGCAGGGATTACTTTGTGTATTCTGCTAGGGAAATCCAGCAATTGCATGAGCACAAAGGCTGCCAGTGACAGGCCTTTCCCACTTCCTCCGTTGGTTTTCACAGGAGCCCAATGAGTTCTCCATCATTCTGCAGAAGTCCCTGCTTTGTCCTGGGTCTCTGCACTGGGATTTCCTACCAGCTACAAAGGCCCTTGGTTGCCTATTGTCAGTAACTGCTTTTAGCAGATGAAGCTTTTTATAATCCCAGACAAAACATGTTGTTAAAACCACAGTCTACTAAGGCACCCAGATCCCTAATTTAGTAATAAAAGATCTCCAGTAAGTCTAAAAGCTGAAAGAGTAGGTCCTTTATTGGGGATGTCAGATAGCTGCGTCTCTGTCTAAGCCCAGCAATGAAGAAAAATGGAGCTCTTCATGTAGGAAAGCAGCCAGCTGTGATACAAATATGTCAAGTATTAGTGAATCACATGGAGGTTTAGATGTATGGTTGACTGCTGGGATGATTAAAAATGTGGACCTTTGCTTTTAAATTAAATTTTCCAGCTTCAGTTTCCCACATTTTATTTCTGTGCTTTTTATTTTTTTTTCCTAGAAGATTAAATACCATTTAGCTTTTTGTACATTCTCAGCCAGATGATTGCATTATGCATTTTTGTAGTCATCATCCTCCTATGATGAAATTCATACAAATGTGGTAATTAGCCTTAAAAACCCCTCATTATAAACCCAAGTCACTTAAACCTGAAGGAAACCCTTAAAGCTGGGCAATGTCAGTATGCAAGTGAAGTACTGTGAATACCCAGATTGATTGTTCTGTCACTGCAATGAATTCCTTCAGGGAAAAAAAAAATCATCTTCAGGGACCTTGTTCATACAGTAAATAGTTTCAGTTGACCACTGGCTACAGCGAGACAGTCCAGAGCATGTCACTCCTTTTGGTGTGAAACCATGCAGCCTTCAGCTCTACAGTCAGTTCTAAATATATTCCTCAAGTCAGATGTATAATGAAACATTTCATTACTTCCTTCCTTCTCAGCACATTTAGAGCAAAGTGAGCCAGGATTTGCTCTCCCCGGTATGAGCAAAGGTTAATTCTTTGCTCTCTGCCAGAAGAACCAGGACAGCTGAAATATCCCTTTATTGTCCCCCTGCACATTAGAGTATTGCAAGTCATTGATGCCGTGACACTCCTTGATGGACAGGACAAGCTTGTGGTATCCCAAAATACCTTCTATATCATCCTTCTAGTGACACATGGTATTAATTATATTGGATATAGGTACTGAGGTGCCCCAGCAAACTGCAGAGCCCCATAGTGCTCAGTGCTGTACAAACTGATTAAGATTTGCCATGCAAAGACAGAGCACAGGGTACATAAAAGAAGGTGATTGGATTCTTCTGAGGTCCTGCAGGACTTTCTGAGGTCCTGCAGGACTTTCCCAATCTCTAAAACAGATTAATCCAAACTGAGGCATAACATGCATTTACTCATTTGCTCAGATATCCAGAATTCAAGCTTTCCTTGTTCTTTTCAAAATTTGTATGTCCAGTCTAAGCACAATTCTGGACTCTGGTAAATTGAATTGTTGCTGGATGATGCTGGTTTTGAACTGTACCTGTCAGCTCTTGCCTTGAAGTCCAGAGAGCCACTCCATTTAGCACAATATAACAACATGTTGATTGCAGAGAGGTCTTTCTAGAAGAGTGGCATCCATTTCCCTTCACTGGAAAGGCCAGCAAGGTAAACACCTGCTCCTGACTTGGTCTTCAAGGCTCCCATTAGCCAGTAGAGAGAATGAGCATCTCTAGTCTGAGCTGATTTATATACTTTCTTCTGAACTGTTTTAGGTATTTATCTAACTGTTCTTGAGAGCACTCATTTCTCTCTGCTTCCCAGATGTGACAACAAAATCTGCTTCAGGCTTTCTTGAAGATTCTAAACTTATCTCTGTGTTGAACAGGAACAGTTCTGAAACCTTGGAAACCACCATGGAGGTGGAAAGCAACCCAACTAACAAAACACAGATGTGAATAGAAGCTGGGAGAACGACCAACAAATATACTATTAGCACTTTCTATATTCTTTGCAAATGAATCACTCAGGTTCTCTACTTTAAAGGAGTAATCATTCTGTCACTTTTATCAAAGTATTGCAACAGGATTTTCTTTTTTAGGTATTCCAGACGTCATCTTTTACTTATACCAGCCAGCAAAAGCCCATAAGTAGGAATAAAACTTTCAGCACTAGGCAGACAGAAGGAAATGAAACTGAAAACGCACTGAAATGAAGTGACTGCTGTTAGATACAGAGGCTGCAGTTAAATATACCCATTAATCAAAAGTGTGTGAAAAAGGGGTACATCGTTCAGGCTCACTTTCTGTCTCTTTCTCCCCCTCTCTGTTGCTAAAAAAAGAATGTGTCAATGAGCTGTGGGTGAGGTGTATTCAGCAGTGAAATGTCCAAATGTCCCTTCTTGCTTTTGCAGTACAAACTGGATCATGTAGACCAAAAAAAGTGATCCTGAGTGAAGATATCAAATTGCTAAAATTAATTCTTGCTGTGTGCAGAAAGAAGGATGCTATTAGCTGTAGAATCTGGAGTCCTGGATACAGTTTTCCATCCTAAGACATCCTCAGAAAGATGTTCCAGATACACCCCTGAAACATAAAGAGACAAGCTGTTTTCAGCTACTCATACAGTCAAGAGGGAGAAGCTGATACCTCCAGAAAGCAATGCTCATCACAGATAGCACATGCCCTGGGCCATCTGATGGGTTGATGTTGGGCTGAGGTGCTTTAGTTACCACGCAAGAACATCAGAGATGGTGCAAAGATAGGAAAGACAACAGCAAAGAACAGGCTGACTGGGGAAGTGGTTGACTCACCCTCCCTGGAGGGATTTAAAAGATATGTGGATGTGGCACTTGGGGACACAGTTTACTGGTGGACTTGGCAGCCCTGGGTTAATGGTTGGACTCCATAATCTTTGAGGCATTTTCCAACCAAAACAATTCTGTGATTTTGTGATTCTAAGGAAGCCATGACAATGTCCTTCATTTCATCAGCATAACCAGGATGGAGCTTTGGGGCACCACCCCCACCTTCCTGGGGTGCAGTCACTTGGCTAGTGCTTGAGAAACCCACTCTGGGAGCTCCAGTGTGGGGCAGAAGGACCTGTGCGACAGAGTTTATGGGTTATTCCAGGGATAGTTGTCTTTGTGGATGCATGAGCCTGCCCAGATTTCTTCTACGCCTTGACAAGGAGCCCTTGTGCCACAGATGCACTGCTGGGGTGTTGCTGAACACAAGCTCCTTGTAAAATGGCTCTCCTATATTAATTTGCAGAGTATCTCAGCACCTCTTAGTGTTGAAGGCACCGTAGCAGAAAGCTCGAGGAGCACCTACATAACTTGGGCTCTAGATCATTGAGTATAGTGACAACGAAGGATCTCAGAACAGTTTACTCCAGGGGAAAAAAAAAAAAATTCTTTTACTTCCACACCCCTGATGACCAAAAAAGTGTTTTGCTCATCTTGAAAACACACTCCCCAGCAGCTCTGTTAGCACCCCCGCCCAAGTGTCCCTTACATACACTTTCCCCCCAAAGGCAGGAAATCACTTAGAAAACATTTCCCAGGTTCCTTCCTGGCCAGAGGTCATCTCCGTGTTTCGGACCAGCAGGAGTCACCGTGTTCTCTGACACAACAACGGAGAAGGAAGATCTGTCCTGCCTATCCAGCACGGTGCTTTCAAGCTCGTGTTTTTTAGCTGCAACTCCACCCCGTGCCGGTGGAGAAGGGATCAGTTCCCACTGATCGCAGGAAAGGGAGGTCACGGGGTTTGCTTGATTAAATCACCACAAGCCAAAAGGTTCTTTCTCTCTTCTCACTGAGAATTGCTCAGAGGCTAAGTTGTTCCAAAAAGAAAAGCAAAACAAAACAAAACAAAAACCTACCCAAGCCCAACAACCAACAGCACACACGGAAAAGCAGGTGTGTCTCAAGATCCTGGGAAAACAAAGGGCAGAGACTGAGGCAGGAGGTGACACTTGGATGGGAAGTTTCCATCCCAGCACAAGAGGACAAGTTTGGAAAAGGCTCGGACAGGACCAGCACTTGTCCTACAGGTATGGATGATGTGTGTGAAACGTGGCATTGTTTTAACCATTTGGGGCAGGTGAAGGAGGCTTGAAGGAATTTTCAGGGCCAGATTCTGGAAGTGTGATGCGAGCTTTGCATGACCACTAAACCTGCTGCGGGAGGACTGTGATCGGCACCTGTGTCGTTCCGTGGTGATTAGCTGGCAGTTTTCTGTAGGAAACTTTCGGCTTTTCAGGGTGTGAATTAAGCCATTCAAGCCTCTGACGAGGTGCTGCTGCCTGTTCACTTGGCTAATGAATGTTAATAGAGGCTGTGATTAGTTTAAACTCGGGGCTGCAGAGGTGAAGAGGGACGTGCACGGAAATGCCGTGCTAATCCAGTCTGCTTTTATTACCTCGCAAACCCTGCTATAGAGTTTCAGGAAAAAAGAAATCAACTGCAATAGCATCCAGATTTTTTTTTTCCACTTCGTTTTATGCTTACAGTGGCTGGGATTTGCAATGCAGATGCAGGCACTGTAATTTTGTCGGCTCTATAGAGCTGTGGGTTTGTTTCTTTTACGAGAAATCTCTTGCATCAGCCTTCAGTTTCATATTAAGTGACATTCGCTGACAGGGAAGAGGGACTTGGGGCACCTGTGGCCACACGTCTTCAAGCATCACATTTGTCTTGTTTCCATTCTTTTCTGTCTGTGTTTTGAGCTGCTAAAAATGAAAGCGAGTTTTATGGTGTTCTGTTGGAGTCCTGGTGTGCTGCTGCCAGTGCTCAGTGTCGGGGGTGGGGGATACAGGGATGCTTTCTGATGCTTTCACCTCTGTTGATTCCTATATCCTCAAAAGCTCTGCTCCGTTTCCAAACATCTCCATTTCCAAGCAGTATCCACTGGTTGCTTAAATGGTCATGATTCAGATAAAAACACAGCTGTGGTGTAACCTTGTACAACCTTGTTTCTCTCTTCCCATCAGTGGGAAAGTGATGCCCAGCGACGTGCACAAGGAGCATTTGGGTTTAGGGAGGAAAGGTGTTAATATTTGAATGCTGTAACTCTCACTTTCAGTGACAGTTTTATGGGAGGCAATGAGCAAGGGAATAGCAAGGGAAAGGATGTTGAGAATTTGAAAGCCTGAGGCTCCATTTCTCCTTCCCCCATCACTTGCTGTTGCATGATGAAAATGATATTTCTCAACCCATAGATTTTCCTCTCATCCAGAAAATTCCTCATCATCACTTAACCTGTTCCTGAGATGTCTGGCAATAGTGCAGAACAAAGTGATACTTAAGGAAATTTAGGGGCAAATCTTTAGCATCTGCACAGCAGTGACACTTGATTGAACTCAGTGATGGCTCAGCCAGCTTAGAAGGAACCTGGTGTGAGTGTCTGGCATTTGTCATTATTTAGCTTCCCTAGATTCGTCTGAGTTTGCCTCCGGTGATCCAGGTTTAAAAAACAAACAAATAGAACATCCATAGGCTCTGAGAAGATATCTTTGTCCTGATCTTCTTGGTTATTTTTATTTTTTTAACACCTTTCAGACGGGCTTAATAAAGAAGTTTTCCGACATCTGACTTGGAGACGTGGGAAATTCCTCAAACTAGGCAGAGCTTCCTCTCATTGTTATAACACAAAAGACCAGTGCAGCCTTTACTAGAGTTCCTTTTTTAACCCATTCATCTTGACCAAGAAAACCTCCCTGCTGCTGCCACCACTCAGGGCTGTGATTCACAGTTTGCCAGAAGACAGCAGACAAGCGTGGATGTGAATTGCATCATCCCTGAGGACATCATTAGTTTTGTGTCTCTCTTTGCACATCATAAATGAAATGCCCTTGCACTTGAAGCTGAAATTATTTGCTGCTGGAATTAATCTCAGCCTTGTGTAAGAGTCATGGCTTTTTAAAGCAAGTGGGAAGAGCCAAACTCCTTGCAGAAAACCATTTCTAGTTTTCCATGAAACAGTTTCTTAGGGCTGTGATCTTTAAGAGAGGTTCAATTGCCATTCATGAGCTGGTCCGACATAACTGCATGATTATTCAGAGTTTATTTCTTAAATGATCTTGCATGTGGCTCATCCTGCCCATGAGCAGTTACCACCCTTCAGCTAATCTGATCCAGCACCTGCTGTGCTGGTAACGGAGCAGCAGCTTGTCCCCCTTATCTGTGCTCAGCAACATCCTGAGCGAAGACTGAGCCAGCACTGGGTGAGGGCAGGAGCTGTAAGGGGTGTGAGAGTGGCCCTGGGGGGGTTGTATTAGGAACGTGGATGAGACTGAAGGCAGAAGGTCGGTCTGCAGGAACAGGGGAAACAAGAAAGAGATTGAAGAAAGATTTACAGTGGCTTTTTTTTTTCTCTCTCTGATGGGGGAATGGTCCAGTCCATGTTTGGTATGGTGGTGGGTTCTTTTTTTTTTTTTTTCCCCAGAAAAGAGCAGCTCCTGCAGAGCAGCTAACTCAGTGTAACAGGTTGTGTAGCAATTACAGTGCTATATTTGCATGTTATAATGCTGCCTCAGTGGACTTTGTTAAGGAATTTTTGACTACATTTACAGGCTATTCTGGGGGCTTGTCTGCTTGTAGTGGTGGCCCTGGAGAGGTTTCACTCCGACAACCATCCCATGACATGGCATGGATGTTGTAACCTTAATCCATTATCTCTGCACCCAGTCCATACCTTTTCTCCAAAGTTCAGTTTATTCCTGTGGAATCCTGCAATGCATTCTGCCCCAAAGCCCTCCCCTCTTCATTATAACTCCACCTGAGCAAGACACACAAGATGGGTGTGCTGGGTCTGGCTGGGATGGAGCTAATGTTCTTCAAAAGGTGCTGTGCTTTGGATTTGTGGCTGAAACAGTGTTGATAGCACACCAGTGTTTTGGCTATTGCTGAGCAGTGCTTGCAGAGCATCAAGGATTTCTCTTTTCTCCAGTGGCTCTGTAGGGAGCGAGATGGGGGTTGGGAGGGGCTATGTCTGGGAAAGCTGACTCGAACTCACAGAAAGGATGTTTCAAACCATATAACATCATGTTCAGCAATAAAAAAGAGTGGTGGGGGTCAGGTTTGTCTTTCAAGGTGGCCATTGCTTGGAGACTTTCTGGGTATACATGTGCCTGTGGGAGGTGGTGAGACATTTTCTTCACATCACCCTTTTTTTTTTTTTGGCTTTCATCTTTCTTTCCCTTATGAACCTTTATTTATCTCAATCCAGTAGTTTTCTCAGTTTTTCTCTTCTTATTCTGTTCTCCATCCTGCTGGCAGGTGAGGAGACAGTGGGTGGCTGTGTCAGTGCTTAGCTTCAGGCCAGGGTCAAGCCACTACAACAGAATATCTAACCCACCCTTTAGACACCTTCCAGTGGACCACTTTTGAACAAAGAGAAGGTTTTTCCCAGCCCAGAAAAAAAGTCCCTTTAACTCCTTTGTGCCATCTCAATCATCTGATTTACACAAAGTAGTACTTGTTTCAGGAAGAACTCAAAGGTCGGTCACCCAATATTGACCAGTCCTGGCACTGAAGTCTTTCATTCTGCATGAAAGGGGACCTGACTCTCATTTGCCTTTTAGGTATTTCCACAGGTCTTGCTTTATGAGACCATTAATACAAGCACTGATAGGTTTTTCCTGCACCAGGGTCTCTCTAAACACCCTGTGAAGCAGATACAGCAAATTCCACCCTTGTCTGGTAGCAGAGTGCTGAAGCACAGGCATAGTCAGGGTCTGCCTACAAGGCTGGCTGCTGCCAACCCAGGCTCTGCCTAAACCTACCTCAGCAGGAAAGAAAAGGCTGTGGCAGCCCAGGTTTGGGGATACCTATGAGTAGCAGAGCTCTATGTATCCCCCATTTAAATCTTAACACGAAATATTAATTTCCAAATGCCTTCCCTCAAAACATAATAGAGCTGTGATCTAGTATGTAATTTACTGTCCTCGGAAATTCCTCAAAACGGCAGAGCTTCCCCCAATTGTTCGTGCACAGAGGAAAAGCTCTACTAGAGTTCCTGCTACGGCTCAGTCCTGTGACCACAGGCTTGGCCCTCCATGACCATCAGGCTGAGTGTGTGAAAACCATCTTCATTCCAAAGATGTCCCCTACGTGCCTTATGACAGGCTGTTCACAATATGCCCCTTGCTCCTGAAACTCTTTTACTGTTCCTTCTTGAGAGAGGAATTCTTTAAATTCCTTCATGGTGTCGCTAAAATTTGGGTTGACTGATCCTGTGTCTGAGATTCCGGATGAGCCTGTGCATGCCTCAAGTGTCTCTGGCTGTAAAGCAGGACTGATGGTACTTCCTTCCTTCCTTCCCCTTGTTATCCATCCTGTTTTAAGTCTGTGGCTGAAAAAGTCCAATTGCTGTTCATAACCAGTGTTCCTTATTGCAGTAAAGACACACAAAATGTTAAAATCATGGAATCACAGAAAGGTTTGCCATGGGCAGGGACACCTTCCACTATCCCAGGTTGCTCCAAGCTCTGTCCAACCTGGCCTTGGACACTTCCAGGGATGGGGCAGCCACAGCTTCTCTGGGCAATCTGTGCCAGGCCCTTGCCACCTTCACAGTAAATAATTTCTTCCTAATATCAAATCTAAACCTACTCTCTGTTATTTTCAAGCTATTCCCTCTTGTCCTATCACTCCATGACCTTGTCAAAATTCCCTCTCCAGCTGTTTTGGAGCCCCATTGGGTACCGGAAGGGACTCCAAGGTCTCCCCAAAGCCTTCTCTTTCCCGTGGCTGAACAGACCCAGCTGTCTCAGCCCGTCCTTATAAGGGAGGTGCTCTGTGTTGTTACTGAAAATCTGCCTTAAAAGCTGCCTTCTCCTTTCCTAAATGCCTTATTTATGGACAGCCTTGCAATGTTTGCCCCAGCACTCTTCCAGTATCATAGTAGCAAACCTAGCAAAGGCTTAATCCACCCAACTACAGTTAATGGAAACTTCCCTTGTCTCTAATGTATGTGCAGATGCTTTTGGGGATGCCGAAGCAGAGAAGATTCCTTCTGAAGCAAAATCTAGATTGCTTGTACAGTCAGCAG